TCACTCACTCACTCACTAAGATGTTAGCAGATCGATAATTAAACGTTTACTGATCCACTTATGTCATCTGATTACGAACGTTACACGACACTAACAACCACAAAGCTCTCATACAGTATAGATTACTTTGTTATTTATATGAGGAAATGAAATGCTGATGTTCCATGTGGGATCAGTTTCTGGCACTTGTGTACGCCATGGGGCCCCACTTTGCATGCGCAGACTCGCACATAGTTTTATTTTCGGATTATTCATATTAAAAGAATCAAGGAATGATGCAAGTTGAAGTAAAATTATACAATTAACGCCAGTTAGTCAAACCTTTTTTTCTGATGTAATAAAGTCAACAAAAACGCTTATGTACAACATCAAAATTTCGATTTTTCAGAAGACTCGTAGATCGAACCGGATGCATCAAAAAAACCTCTTTTCATTAGAATTCAAAACGAGAGTCACATTTCAAGCTCTGGAGGACTTTATTCTCCATAGAGACAGCTCAAAGTCACKGCGGTATTCAGCCAAAAATCTTACAAACTCGATCGAGTAAAGTTTTATTAGAACAGTCGTATTTACTAAGTGACTTCATAAGAAAATAATCAATGTGGATATAGAAAAATTAGCAAAAGACAAAAATAAAGATTAATTCCAATGGATTTTTGAAGGAAATTCGGCCAATTTTGTCATTCAAACAGAGTTAATTAACTCTGATTCAAATAAGCCATTCTGAATAAAAAGTTGATTGATTGCCGCACATTACAAACAGTCGAAGAAATGTCCTTGTATTTTGAAATGTGCGAAGGTCTAACGAGAATTTGCTCCAATAAATAAATCAGTAATTTACAGACTTGAATGAAGACAAATTCAGTAGTATTTCTAAACGAATTTAATAAAATATTCGCTTAGTTCACAGTGTAAATTAGATCTTCTTTTAATTATACTCTATACTTGGCTCAGTTGACTCCATCAAAGTCGAAGTCGTCTTTCGTAATTGAAGTTCAGACAATTAATTCATCACAGAATTCGCTTCCAAACTAAACAAAATAACAAAGAAGTAAACAAAGTAGGTGTTAAAGGAAAATAAAAACTCATCTTACTAGCTATATTGAGTATTTAAAATATTAAATCCAGCGATATATTTGGAATCCTTTGAATGTCAACGAGCATAAGGAGGACACAGGGAGCCCAATCTTCGAAAAGTGCAACAAGTATCCACGAGTTTGCCAAAGGGCGGTTTGATTGGCTCTCAGAGACAGCTTTCAAAGATGAAAAAAATTTTTTGCAAAAGCTGAATTTAAAAAAATTACACCATGACAATAAAGAAACTCATGAAGTTTGATATTTCATAATAAAATACAGGATAAAAATAAGTTTCATTAGCACTTTAATAACATGCTAGTGTCTCCTCAACTAACTATCTTTATTCATTTTTTTGGGGAGTCCTAGAATTCCAATCTTGTATTGCAAGCTGACAGGTCTTTGATAGACAGACGCAGTCGAGATGAAGCTACTGGAGAAGTTGTATCTCTTGTTGGTCACTTGGGTACTATTAGGATGGGAGACAAATATGAAAGAACTAAACCACCTGTTGATAATGAAAGAAAAGCAAAGTGAGTACATTATTATTAGCAAATTGCATGCAGATCATCAAGAACAGCAACTTCAGTCAGTTCATTCCTACCCTTTGCACCCAACGCTAATCGCTAGAATATATGACACTACAACATAATGGAGTGTGACTGTGCTGGGTGCCTGGTGGACAGCATTAGACCAGCATTTTATTTTCAATCATGTGCAATTCATCATTAATATAAATACATAATTATTACAAGTGTTTAGAAAATGAACTTAAATATTATTACATTACAATAATACGCCGCCCACTACGAAAAAAACAGTAGGATATAACCTCTTGGGAAAAAGCCCACTGGAAAATGTAGTCCTCGACCGATGCAACGTATTACAGTCAAACAAGCTCACGCGTTGACCCCTAGAGTCGATTAATGATTTGAATTTTCGAATTTTGATTTCATTATTCAGTTGAAATTTACAACGTCAAAAACGAAGATATGAAAATTCCAATCAACTTTAAATTCAATATACGACATTTTGATTGGTTAATCAGTGCTAACACAGCCGGAAGACCAAGAAAACATGGCGGCCAGAAATAGTCTTGGCCATGTTTATGTGCCGGGAAGGCCTTTACCTGATATCATTCGACAGGAAATTGTTCGTCTCAGCAATAGCGGATTGTCCAATAAAGCAATTTCGCGACAACTGAAAATTTCTAGTTGGGGAGTCCAGAAAATACTTCAACATTATCGATGACATGGAACTGTGTCTCTGTTTCGCTCAAGGCGGGAGCATTCCCTACAAAATTATTGATGATATCCTCCAAGTAATTGAGGCATGGAAATGACAAAACCTAGTGTGTATGCTTATGAAATAAGAGAGCGACTTCTGCTCGAAGGTATCTGTAATTTAGATGATTTACCTTCTTCATCACGAGTCGAATAATGGACTGAATTTTCATTTGAATATTGCAATATTGCATTATTCCGGTTCATACGTATAAAAGGAATAATTGACTAATGATTTCATTAATCAAATGTAGGGGTCAACGCTTGAGCTTGTTTGACTGTAACGCTCCAAGGGCTAGAGCTATATTTCTAAAGTAGATGTAACGTAAATTTGTATAAGTTTGGATACAAATGTTGGCTGTCCAACAAGCAAGAGAAATACATTTAGTATCACACTAACTTATATACTTAGCATATATTTGAATAATTAAAAGTCATACGACTAAAATATTCACAAGTAATATGTACAGTATGAGTGGCCGTGTTGTATCAGATATACAACCACGAGGTGTAGCAGAGTGATTGCATATCTAATACGACATTTTTCAAAATTAAAGTGAATTTGGCCAAGAAAATCCAACTTAAAGTTTATGCAAATGAACACAGTTTTGTATCGTGTTGTGTTTTCCTCATGCATTATTCATGAGTTTGATAAGGGAATATGCAAGATAAACATATTCACTTAACGTGATCAATGTGCTACGAACTGTAATGAAAAAATTCAAATTTTTGTCAATCCCTAACTGCTACTGGAATATTTGAACATGTTTTTCATGGATTTATGCCCATACTTCAGCACAATGCGAAATAAAAAAGCCAAAAACTTGGTATCTATGGAAGCTATTTTGATTGAAATTTGAGAGAAATTAATAGGACTTGACCTTTTGATTAACGGTCATGACGCCCCCTTGTCATTACGCCCCYAGCCATGACGCCCCCACGTATACCATGACGCCCCCAGTCTGTACTACCATGACGCCCCTAGCATAAACCATGACGCCCCTAGTCTCTATTGACACTTATTTAATAAGAAGTTTAACAATATTTCATAGTATGAATCCAAGGACAACAAAAAAATAACGAAAAGGAAAAAAATTGACAACAAAATTTCGTAAATCCGATAAATTATTCGCAATTCAAGTTAGTACGCCGTAGTTGCCGTAAGAATGCTAGTGATCTTTCGTATTATTGTTTCCCTTAAGAATAAGTTCTTCAACTTTTCTTCAACAAGTTTTACATTGAAAATATACCACAAAAGAAAGAGAGTGCTGGTGAATAAGGTAAGCAAAACATTGCAAAAAAATCAAAACCTTTGACACGACCATTAACAATGCACGAACGAACGAGTTGTTTTCGAACCAACGAGTTGTTTTCAGCCGTTGTAGTTCACAGACTTGTAACCTAATAGTTCTTTGGYGTAGGAAGTTTTTGACTTATTCGTAATTTTGAAACTTGTGTTTTTTCTAAATATTTTGGTAAATCAGCAAAGATTTCTTATGAAAATCGGGTAGTTTGCCGTTTTCACTTTACGAGTCTTTTCACTGCTGGGAATGTCGTCACAGCAACTTGTTCACATCTAACGTTTTTGACTCATTTGTAATGTTTCTTCTACTTTAAGTTTCAAGTTTATTCGCACACAAGTACAATAAGCTAAATTGTTACAAAAAAGTGGAATGAATCATGATACAAGTGGAGATTATATGTACAAAGAATTCAGGTTAATACAAGAGGAAAAATAAATAGGTGTGCATGGCTGTTGAAGTAAACAATGATATATCATTGTTGATTGAGGATCAGTTGTAATCTTAAGGTTTGTTTAAAAGAAGAAATTGAAGTTAAGTTCTTTATGTGAATTGGAATTTCTTCCCAGACTTTAGAAACAGAAAACTGGAAGGTGAATTTACCATAGTTTGTTCTAATGCGTGGACGAACAATATTCTTTTGGGTTGCAAACCTTGTATTATAAGAATGTTGCTCATTAACCATTTTAAGTATATTTCTAAATACTTCAGGGAGTTGAAAATTTTTATTATTTACAATCTTATATCCAAGTAAAGCGGTATTAAGTTTGAAAATATTTGCAAAAGTCAAGATTCCAAGAATATAATACAGTGGTGTTGCATGTTCACATTGATTTGCAAAAAACATAATTCGAACACATTCATTTTGGATAGTAGATATCCTAGTTAGTTTGGTCTTATGTGTACTACCCCAAGCAAGAATTCCATAAGAAAAGTATGGATAGATTAAAGAGTAGTAAATATTAGTAAGAGTCTTAAGGTTGATAAAGTATCTAAGATTACGAATTACCCCAATGTTCTTAGATACCTTGCTGTGCGCTACTTTAATCTGTTGTTCCCAACTTAAATATTTATCTAGGTAAACTCCTAGGTACTTCACATAATCTTTTTGGTGGATATTTAGGGTATGTATAGGAAATCGCACGATCTCGAGTACAATTTGGAAATTAATAGACACGAGTAATGTTTTGAAAGTTCTTATAATTGCGTGAGCCTTTAGGCGAGTGCAATTAAAGAACTTTCAAAACATTACGAGTGTCTATTAATTCCAAATTGTTCAAGAAGATCGTGTGATTTTTTGTTTATAGTTCACTCAACAAAATTTCAGTAAAAAATTCGAAGGGACGCCGTTCATCTTTGTCTATTTGGCTGCTGATTTTCAGTCCATCGTGCAACTGAAATGCATAAAAAAGATTAGTTCTTACGGCTTTAAAATTTTATTTATGTTTTTTTAGTACAAAATGATAGAAAATAATTGTTTTGACATTGTTTTGGCCTTGTTGCCATAGCGACTTAATTCGGTACTCCTCTCGACCAATCAGAGTCGAGTAATTTTGTTGAGTGTACTATAATGATATTAATAACAGGTTCTTTTTTACGTGCAAATTTAAATATAATGTAATGGGTTTTACTAAGATTGATTGTTAACTTATTAATGGCACAGTAGTCAAGCACATGTTTTAGTTCAGTATTCATAACATTCTCAATTACAGATACTAATAAAAAATATTAGTATCATCTGCAAATAACCTAAAATTAAACTGTTGGGATACATCTGGAAGGTCATTGATATATAGTAAGAAAAGTAGTGGGCCAAGGGTGCTACCCTGTGGAACACCGCATTTAATCTCCATGGTAACAGATTTAACATCACCCATTTTAACAAACTGCTGTCTGTTTGACAAGTATTTGGTAAACCAGTCGTGCGCCAGACCCCTAATGCCATATTTAAAGAGTTTGCGAAGCAGTATACTATGATCTACAGTATCGAAAGCTTTTTTAAAATCTAAAAATATACCACATGTGTATTGACTGTCATCAATTGACTTCCTTAAAGTATCAACAGTCTCTAGGATTGGTTGTTCAGTTGAGTGAGATTTCCGAAATCCAAATTGATAGTGATTAATGATATGGTGCTTATCCAAAAAGTTTAGTAGTTGGTCATAGACAACTCGTTCGAGAACTTTATTTAAAGCAGGTAATATTGATATTGGTCTGTCATTTGAAGGATCTGTAGTATCACCATTCTTGTGGATTGGTACCACACAAGAAGTTTTAAATAAGTCAGGAACAGTACCACATTTGATTGATTGGTTAATGAGATATGTAACAGGGATAGCAATTTCATCATTAGCTATTTTTAACATGCTATATGGAATATCTGGCGAAGTTTTCTTAGGATCTAAGGTGGCTAGGCGCTTACTTATCTCGGGTATTGTCACAGGAGAAAGAAAAAAAGTAGGAGGAGGAGAGTTCTGAATAAATTTAGTTACATTGTTTTCTAGAATATTCACAGCCAATCTTGCTAACTCTGGTCCTATATTTACAAAGAAATTGTTAAATTGGTCAGCTATATCTTTTTTGTCTTTAAAAGTCTGGTTGTTCACAACCAACATTGTAGGAGATACATCCGATTTAGATTTTCTTTTAATTAGATGACCTATGAGTTTCCAGGTTTTTCTCAGATTTGATTTGTTATTTTCAAACTATAGAGCCAAGTAGTTTTTTTCCTGCATTTTATAATATTGTTTTAATAGCCTCCTTATTCATATAAACTTTCTTGGAGGAGAAACGTGTGTTTTTAATAAATATTTCAGAAAGCAAGCAAAGATTGCTCACATAAATCGGGTAGTTTGCCATATTCAAGTTGTTACACTGTTGTTGTCACACAGTTCCTCCGCGTTTGAAGTCTTCGCTTGGTGAAGCGAAGCACAAACGGCGTCTCACAAACAATCATTACAGATGAATTTCAGAGTTCATATTAAAATAATATTCTAGAGCTACAACATGGAAAATAAATCAAAAGAGCATACCGTATTATCATAGTTTACTATGATATTACTGCAATCTAAATGCAAACGTGATACGTTGACGTGACGCACCACGTTTGCAATACACCCTGGAATATACAGCGAGGTGTCACTTTCGATTTGTCGAATCACCGTCTAATTTACTTCCGAGGTTGAGTTTATTCAACTTTACGTTCGTAATTTCAAAACCTATTCTATAAACAGATGCCTTGAAGATATATTTTGTCTTTCCCGGCGATTGCTGAAATCACTTGAAAAAGCTATCGAAGTAGACATATTTCTTCATTTGTGTAAATAACAAAAGAGTTTGAAACACAAGGTGCGCGTCTCAAAAATAATCCTTAAAGGTTTCTCGTGCCGATAAAGGCATTCCGAAATGTTGATTACGGGCCATGTTGAGAGTGCTTCGTAACAACAGCGTGACTTGATCGCACGAAATGAAAGTTTTGATCGATGAAAATGTCTTAGAATTATGGTTGGATTCCTAATGCATCTGAATGATGTTCTTTAACTCCTAATTCAGCTATATCATGTACTGGAACTAATCATTAATGATAAAATTCAAGAAGTACATCGCTTAACTACAGAGATTTAGTGTTCGCCAGCTTGTAGGTATCGTTTTTAACTCGTGGATACRCGAAGCGTAGAAACGAGTTATTTAAAACCGTAATGATCGTGAAACAACTCCAATAGTGTTCTATTTACATGGGTTCGTAGCGCCATATTATTATCGTTAAACTTCTTGTTAAATAAGTGATAATATAGACTAGGGGAATCATGGTTTACGCTGGGGGCATCATGGTAGTACAGACTGGGGGCGTCATGGTAGTACAGACTCGGGGCGTCATGGTATACGTGGGGGCGTTATGGCTGGGGGCGTTATGGCTGGGGGCGTCATGACAAGGGGGCGTCATGACGGGTTACTGACCTTTTTGGGTAGGAGTGTTGACAAAAACAAAATAACAACTATAGTGGGAAAAGTCTAATGGATTTCAAGAAAAGAAAGCGTCAGTAAATGACTATTGATTGAGGAAAAGCTTTTTACACAAAAACGATATGGCGTCGCTTGTTGATCGATGTTTCGTGCATAAGGTATTTTGTATTTTTCTCGAACTTTGGCAAGTAAAGAATGATAAAGCTACCCAAAACACACCTTTCATAGATTAGAGTATGGGAAAAAAAGTCATCCGAGTCATAAGCTGGTAGAAACTGACTCGATGTGGTAGCTAAGTGAATGCTGTCCTTGGTCACGTTTAGATCTCCACTTTCACTGATCATATTGTGAAATGATCGCTCCTAATATGCTTCAAAATCATATACAAATGTCTTTCAAGAGGCTATGTTTCTTTTTAACAAGTCTCATTGAAGCTTTGTTTTGGTAATTTTCAATGGTAGCGAAAGGACTTCATGATGGTAGCGAAAGGGCTTTGTGTAGTAGCGAACCGACGGTAGCAAAAGTGTGTGGTAGCGAAACGACCAGTATTCGTTCATTTAAATATGCCAAGATTTTACATGGTGGTTGCACTTGCTTGGCAGGCTTTCAGATTTTCCAGTCTTTCTGAATAGATCTATTTCAGAACCATGCAAGTAATGATCAAAGCAAAAATTCAAGGAGTTTTGCTAAAATCATAAAATTCAAGAGCTTTTCAAGTTTCCTTGAAAACGTGAATTAAATTCAAGGAGTTGTCAAGAAGTTTAAGGAGTAGCACAAACCCTGTATATTAATTGCTATATTTATCGACTTATTTTGCACATTCTTGCCAATTTTTAGAAAAAGTTTAACATTAAAAGTTTATTTTCTCTTAGATTCTTTATTTACGCATGTCCACAGTCTACAATAGTTTATGAAGAAATTAGTGCTAAATATCAAGCAAACTATCTCTAGAACAAGCACAGTGACCCTTAACCTTTTTTTTTCTTGCTCTTCCATACAGGTTAACCGATAATATCTTTCATCAATGAAAGTATGTAAAAAAGTTTAATGTTGGAACATTTGCCCACCAACTTCCTTAAGAAAGAAAAACAATAGTCTGCTTGGGAATTAGCTTAAACATTAATTAGCTTAAATTGCGTTTTCAGTTTCCCAATGCTGTGTATTCTTCACATGGTTTACCATTAATGGGAAATCATTAACCGTTGTTGCTTTTAGAGCAAAAACCACATGTTTTTTTAAATATAAATGCTGTTGTTGTTAACTTGAAGATCATTAATGTTTTATGTACAATTTCCAATTAACATTCAAGTGTCTCGAGTGATAAAACACATTGATGTATTTTACCACAATTGGAATATGCTAAAAAAACATTGATGAGAATATGTGGACCGCATGGCACTAATGAAATACATGAAGATATAGAAATATAGATAAGTTATAGTGCTTGGGAACGAGGTTATTCCGGGCGAAAGCCCTTGGAATTAAATTCGGAAAAATTAATTTCCGACCTCGCTGGGAAGCGAATCATCTAATTCACCCCGGCCTGCTCTCAGTCTGACCTCTAGCTCAGCTGGTAGAGCATCGGTAGTACAATTCGAAGGTTGTGGGTTCGATTCCCAGCGAGGTCGGAAATTAATTTTTCCGAATTTAATTCCAAGGGCTTTCGCCCGGAATAAMCTCGTTCCCAAGCACTATAACTTATCTATATTTCTATATCTTCATGTATTTCATTAGTGCCATGCGGTCCACATATTCTCATCTTTGCATCATAATTACCGCTACCTACCATCTATTTCACCCCGGCCTGCTCTCAGTCTGACCTCTAGCTCAGCTGGTAGAGCATCAGTAGTACAATTCCGAAGGTTCCGAGCATCCTCCAAGAAATCTGGCTGGACCGACGCTGTGATCACAGGGTTCCCAACATGCAATAACTATTGTGTTTAGATTAGTGTTGCTGCTTGCCTTACGGCTTTGCAGCAATTTTTGATAGGGCAGAATAATACGCTAATGTCTGAAAAAAGTGTCAAACGTGGTCATTACATTGCTTTTCCTTTCTCATTTCAGTTTTAAAAATGCTTTTTCCTGGTAAATTAATATGCTGTAGTTTGAAAGCCAATATCCTGAAATACTCAACTTTTTTCCCATGCAAACAAAAATTGGTGTTGTTTTCTCAAAGTTAATCCCAAATATATTATACTGTCCATTGTATAGTCCATTGGTAGATATTTTTATGTAGTTTACTAACTTGGCAAATTTATATTTATTAAGGCGACAAAAAACAGCTGAAAAAGAAGATGTTGGCAAGTTAAAGGGAAACACTTTACTATCTGATGATGTTGAAGATATTGCTGGTATCCAGTATAGGCCAAAGACAAGAGAAAGTAAAGCCACTTATGAAGTTTTGCTGACTTTCATCTTAGCAGCCATTGGTGATCAAGTAAGTACTCATCTAGGTACCAGTTTATTAAGAGGTGGGTAAACCTTGGATAAGTTACTATAATTTTTCAACTCAAGAGGAAATAAAAGAAGTTGTGGAGGTGTTGGCATAAATTTGTATTACGTTTGACATGAGGCCTCCACATGACACAGTTCCAGTGGCTTACTTGTGAAATTTGATCATTACTGGCAGCAGAAATTGGCGAATTTGTCTATAGTATTTGACAGTGAATCGCAGTGAATCACACATTTGTTTTCTTACACTCTATTATTTTAATGATCATGCCTGATTTTCCTAGCTTAATAATGAGGTTTTTTCTTGAACACAAGTTGCTTATTTCCCGGTCAGGATACATTAAGATTTAGCTAGTGTCACATGGTCACCTTTCAACCAATCAGAATGTTTGTTATATTGAAAATTTTGTAGCTAAATAACAAAATATTAGTAAAATACGCAGGTTATTATTGAAAATCTTGCGCTCTGATTGGTCGAGAAACTCGCACTATCACATGATAATAACCTCCATCGATAATCCAAAATGGCGGCCAGCCACTTCATTGCTGTTACCAGAAACAAATGCCTATTATCTTTTTTTTTCCTTTTTTTGAAAGAATCACCTGTGTATTTATGCTAAAATAATTATTTGCCTTAGCCTCAGTGAATATCGGAGAATATTCCCCGATATTCACTTGGCTTTCGGCGACATATTATTGAAAAGTATGAATTATTTTCAATTTCCCAATGCTGTGATTTCTTTACATGGTTTAACATTAATGGGAAATGATTAACCATTGTTGCTTTTAGAGCAAAAACCATCTGTTTTTTTAATTCTAAATGCCGTTGTTGTTAACTTGAAGATCATTAATGTTTTATGTACAATTTCCATGAATGTTGTCAAATTAGCAACCACGTGTCTCGATAAAACACAACGTATTTTTACGACAATGGGAATATGTAAAAAAACATTGTTTTTTAAAGATTTTTTCCTGTGAGCCGCATCATAAGCAATTTGATACTTATCCTTCTGAAAGTGAACTATTTTTGAATTTTTTTTAATTAGCCTCGGGATATCCTTTGTGGTGCTGCTGATGAAGTATTGGCTTGTCTTAAAGATGAAAAACTCAAGGTATGTTTGTAATAATATAGTTTTTGTGTCTACTTATTTTAAGAATCTGCTATCCTATTTGGTTGGTATGTACTTTATATATTATTTAAAACACTCGTTAATAATTCATAAGCCTTTGGTCCAATTAGAGCTACCATACACGTCACATGCATGGACCTTTATACCTGATAAAGTCCTCTATTAACATAAAAGTGATTTTATATTAAGACACATGTGGTCATATTCATACTTAAATTAATATTCAAGTGATTCTTTATATAAAGACCACTCAAATACTTTGAGGATGACTTCATCAGGGATGAAGTATGCCTTCAAGTTTAGATGAAGACTTAGAGCCTCATCAAGGTCATAGTCAACCCTAAAAACCTTTGAGTAACGTGCCTATCTTTGCCTTGGCACGCAATATCCAACGTGTGGGAGTTTCTATTGAATCTGGTTGCTCATGCCAGTGAGGTCAAATCTCTATCGAAGTATAAAAATCCATGTTCGTGATGTGTATGGTGGCTCCAGTTGAACCAAAATCTTATAAATTGTTCACGAGTGTCTTAAGCAGTTCAAAAAACTTGTAGATCATGTTTTATCAGGTATAAAACACTCCTACTTGTCTTTTAAACACTACATAAACATCGCTTATGCAACATCCTTGACGATCTGGTTAAAACAAGAATGGGGCACAATGGTTTACCTTGTTACTGTTCAGTGATTCATGTTACCCTTATGCCAATAGCATACCGAAATCCACACCAATAGTATACCCATCTATACCCATGTACACACCCTGTATGCACATGTACACTTTTTATGCATATATTTTATTTAATAGCGAAAAATATAGTTATTTCGAATTTCTGATATTTTACAGCACAAAAAAGTTGGCAAAATTCTCGTGTCCACTCACTCGCTAAGTTTCAGTACCGCGTTCAAGGAGCCTGAAAAATTGTATAGACTTACGTCATCGGGGTGATACACCAATTTTTTTGTGGGTCAAGAGTGCTGTTTTTAAAAGTTTTAAGAAAGTTTTTAAAATGCCGAAATATTGAGCTTTTGCTTATTGTACGAGTGAATCCAACTTGTAAGAATGCGCAAGTCTTTCACTTTTGGAACGTATCACCCCGATGAAGTAATCGCACCAGTCCCCCACACGCGCGGTCCTCATATGAAAAGGCACGTTTTCAAAACTCATTTAAAAATCAGGAATGCATCAATTTCAAAACATTTTTGGATTTTCGCATTTTTATGAATATATCTTCAACTTACATAAGGTCTGTGATTAGGCATTAGGGGCACTTTAAGTTGATACCCCAGTAAGGGTATACTCTAGAATTTTTGAACTTCAGATATTAACATGCCTATAGCAACTACCTTACACCTGTGTTGTTTTAATTTGATTCAGTGCCTTGTGTTTCCCTTCTATTTTAATTACCCTTTGTGTTATGTGTGCTACTTGAATGCCCTACTTTTTATATATCATTATGCATATATAAAAATATTACATTGTACATATTCATTGATGAAGTTTTACTTTGACAATGATCTTTAAAGTGCCACTACAATCAAATGCTGATTTCTTCAGTTTTTACTACTTAAACACATGTACTTTACAAAAGAAGGAAATTGGCATTTTGGTTCAAAAGATATTAAAGTTTCAAGTTTATGCTAATTAGGAGGTTGATGACATCATAATGAGAATATTATTCTCAACTCTCAGTTTCCTTCAACATAAATATTACATCATATCTAAGAGTACTTGATAAATGTCATTCAAACTTTGGATTATACTTGTATATACAGTGAAACCTCTCTAAGACAGACACTCTCGGGACTGGCGCCAAGTACATTATGTAATATGACACCTGATATACAAACTTGCACCATTATGTGAGAATGCACTGTACAAATGATAACAACTCTAATGTGGATTGTTAGCACTTTAATCATTTCTAACRAAGTTTTAAATGTTAAAATAACGTAAATCGTACATAAATTTGTTTACAGCCTTTACTGTACACATAACTGTAGTATGTATATATAAATGTGTAGTCATTCTGAGTTCGGTAAATGAACACTGTATGTGTATGCCATACAGTATTGTGTACAACAATTAAAAATTTCAAGCTTTAAAATACATTTACTTCCTTAGTACTTATTTTTCTACATAATCAAATCACAATTTCTTTCGTTTATTTTTGCAATTTTAATGCTATGAATTACAGTAACGTGTAGATGCCCTGTCCGTTGACCTCTTCAAAGTGTCCGTAGTCCGTCTTGTAGAGGTGTCCATTTTATAGAGAGTTTAAATACAGTCAAATGACCATAAACGGGCAGGGACTTTGGTGTCTGTCTTATCTGGGTGTCCGCTCAGAGAGGTTTCACTGTACTTGTATTCAAAATATGTAACATGAAAATATACAAATTGTGTTTAATAGGACAAAGAAAAACACAAAGAGATCATATCTCTACTAGGCAACATTCCAGACGAGAGGTATGCATTACTGGTAAACCTTGGTAAGAAAATCACAGACTACAGTTTTGATAGGGATCATTCCAACCAGGGTAAGTAGAAAATTGTTTTCAATACATAATTGAATAATATCTATAATTCACAGATATCATACAAACCTGGTTATAAGCCCTGGGCTTATACTCATTCATAAGGGTTTTTTGATAGGTTTGTATTCAAGAGGGGGACTCAGGAGTAAAGAATAATTACTGTACTTTGGCTATGTGTACTACGGGTAGCTAGAATGAGTGTCAAGTGGCAAGACTCTAACTTTGTTTGATCAGTCGTATCGTGTCATGATTGCCAAAGTATATCAAATTTTTTTAATTAAAAAGCTTTACTAATAGGTTTTTTCATGATATTGCAATTCCCTTTGGTAGGGATTCCTGAATTAAATGTGACTATATAAATAGGGGGTTTAGATCTGGAATTTTACAGTAATACATTTGGATAAGGTGCACCAACATTCATTTTCGAACATTAGGTCTGCGCATTTAGTGCAGGAATTAAATATTGTTGTGATAAATGAGTGATAAATTTAATGCTTCAATTTCTTGATGATGTTGATCATAGATGAAATAATTGATGAGACTTATGGAGTTGCTGTACAGTTTGATGAGGAAGAAGAAGTGAGTAGATCTACAAGGAAGAGATTTTGATTGTCTAAAATTATGATAAGTTGAATGATGTATGATTTATATAGCACCTTTTCTATTTATGGACTCAAAGGTGCTTAAAATCAAAAGAGGTGGTTAGTATGAGGTAAAGACACTGAGGGTGGTCACTGCCAAGGTTTTCTTGAGGAATTTTCAGTGCTTCATTTACATTCCTTGGATATTAGTTAATGATTTTGAAGTGTGGAGAGAGGCGACTACAATTTAAAGCTGTCATCCAAGTTCCCTGAAATGGCTGACATATATTTTGCAACCAGTGGCCACCATTTTTAAGAGTGACAGTGATTGAACTCACCACCTCTCCATCAACAGTATGATGCCTAACTAAATGGGTGTTGGTTTCTAATAATTCTAATATTTCTTGATAAAGTCTTTCTCTTTTTCATAATTCTTTTTCTGCTAGTTATAAATACTGTTGTATCTTGAAGGAGGAAAAAGATTTTGATGAAGTTCGAGAATCTGAATCAGATGATGATAATGAGGAAGGAGTTGAAGCAGACACTACTATGACTCTCCAGGGTGGGGTAGGTATAATTCCATTATGGCAAACAAAAACCAGAAACAAATATTAGTTATAGTTAATATATTTATTTACATTTACAAGATTTTCCATAAGTAAGTAACAGTCAATAATAATGTGGTGCCAAATTTTCTAAAAAATATTTGACTACATTTTTTATGGTAACTGAAAAAAATTGAATTGATTTCAGCTCTCAGAATCACAACAAGCTTCTAGTGATACTATACATCCACGTGAGATTGATGCATTCTGGTTACAACGTGAACTCAACAAATATTATGCAGATGCTGAAGCTTCACGGTCAAAAACTGAGGAAGTTCTTGAAATCTTAAAAAGTGCTAGTGATGAGAGGGAACTGGAAAACAAACTAATGTTGCTTCTTGGACATGACAAGTTTTCCTTTATACGACTTTTGCGAAAGAATCGCAACATGGTGCTTTATTGTACTCTTCTAGCAGCAGCACAAAGTGCTAAAGAAAAGAAGGAGATTGAAGAAAAAATGGAGGCTGATCCTGACTTGGCACAGATCCTGCATGCTCTTACTGAGACTGATGAGGGAGATCTGATACAGGTGATAAATGTTTTTATTATTGAACTATTTTATTATTCTTACTATCTTTATGGTTATTTATTTTATGTTTAATTAACTTTACTATCAAGGTCTCAAAATAATGTACAGATGATTAAAGGAAGAAGTAAAAAAAAGAGACCTGGTTGAAGGCAATTTTCACAAGAGAGATGCCTTAAATTTTATTCTTTTTTATCGAGTTGGTAATTTTTTGTTCTTAAACCCTTTCACTCATATGCTCAGGGTTCATGCAGGTCCTTAAACTCCTTGAAAAGTGCTTGAATTTAAAATGCATTTTCAACTCCTTTGAAACTCATCTGAAACTCCTTGAAAAATAGGAAAACATAGAAAAGTCCTTGAAAAAGTATCGATGAAAAAAACTCAATAAAATGTTTAAAATACATAAGCTGCCATCTTTAGTTATTTGTAGAGATTAATTTTTTGCTACGTCCCTCGGCCCAGAGAAGAATTTCTCCGCGATCCGGAGCTCAAGACAGGTTTCCTTAAAAGCGTAATATTTTGATGCTGTTACATGTATCAAGTTTTTCATAACGTTGTTTTGTTAGTAGATGTCTCGATAAGCTGGCCATTGAGGCCTCCTCATTAGCCGACTTTCGATATTTTGGTGGAGTGATCATTCACTAAGCAATTAAAAACGAGGCTCCGGGGAAATACGTTTCCCAGGAACATTGTCTTGAATAGCTTTGTGCATAATCACTCAACCAAAATATTCATCCCCCATTCAGAGGCCGAGCTAAATCTATCAAAAAATAAAATTGCATAGAAATAATTCACAAAGACTGGTTTTTAAGAACAACTTATACTGAGTCATATTGATAAATCTAAAATGCACCTCAGGGTGCATGTATCTACTCCAAGAAAATTGAGGTTAATATACTAAAACGTACCGATAACCGAAAAAAAGAAATGTTACAAGATTCATCAATACTTAACTCCTTGAAAAAAAACTTTTTTCGTGGAATTCCTGCACGAACCCTGTATACTGTGCCTGAAACTACCAGCAAAAACTTGCACCTTTTTTGAATAATTTCAACTTCAACCATTTTTAGAGTTGGCCTGAATAGCAGTCTCAAATGTTCTCTAAAAAAGAAAACATTGGCATAAAAGTGTTCAAAAATCTAACGAAAGCATATGTTTAAATTTTTTTGAAAAACGAAAATCGGTATTTTTGACATCATTTCAAAAGCTAAAAATCACTCTTTCATATGATTGATTTTCCTTTAAGTTTTTATTTGGACTCCTAGAGTAAAAAAACCCTCACACAGTAAAGTTTAGACCTGGTCTTTACTTTTTTAGCACTTTCTTTCCCTTAAATTATTTCTATTCATTGAGTGATGGTCATTTTCTTGGAGGTATTTCGTCAACTTGATTTTTCGCAAGTTTGCATCACAATGTATCATGGGAAATCCCGGGAATTTTTGACAGGAAATATGGCTGTCCTCATGTTTTTATATTTTTCATAAGTGTTGAGCTACTCAGTCCTACTAAAAAACTATCAGCCTCAAAACAATCTTCGCAAGCCAAATATTTGAAAAAATGTCACCGTAGGTCCTTGCTGTTCATCTATTTGAAGCTCGCAGAATAATTGCAGCAAACTTTCTCAAATGTACCTGGTAGGAATAAACTTTTGATGCTAAAATCTAAAAACCTCAAAATGCTAAGTAGTCTAAGGGTTAAAAGTATCATCTGTCAATCCTTATAATCTTTGTGTGCTTTTGAAATTGAAGCACTCACATGGGGTTGTATTGGTTATTATATTTGCAGGAGGAAAGAGCAAGGAAAGCAGCCAATAGAAAGGCTCGCATTGCTGCAGATTTGGATGCTCTAGAATCAGATCAGGTAAATCATATTCATTGATCTTTTTCACAGGTTCTTCTAATTGGAAACGCAACTTACGATTAATACTACATACCTACATGAACTAATAACTTTAAGATACACCCAATTGCAAGAACTTTGTCATATAAATACAAACAACTGTCAGTGAAAATACGGAGTGCCAAAACAAATCTAGACTTAGAGCATGTTTTGCTTAAAGTACTGAACAATAAAAACATTCCGTGCTAAAAATTTTATTGAGATGGCATTTACATATCTTAGTGAGCAAGTGACACATTTGCATACTCAGACCCCTCACAATAACTCCTTTGTAGGCTTCGCATATCCATAAGTTAAAAATTGTAGGCAGCCTATTCAGTTAAACCTAACAAGACATCATAGTTGTTAACAGAATTATTGGAAGCGTAAACCTTTTTACTTAAACAAGTTATATTATACTGAACATTATATTTGAATGAAAATATTTTCAATTTCATTACTACAGACTAGAGGCAACAGGAAGGTCATTGATTTAGAAGAGCTGCATTTTAAAGATGGAAGTCACTTGATGGCCAATAAGAAATGCCAACTTCCTGATGGCTCATTTAGAAAACAAAGGAAAGGTTATGAAGAGGTTCATGTGCCAGCCCTGAAACCAAAACCATTTGATACTGGAGAGGTAAGCAAACAAGGGTGACTATGTTCCTTGTTGTTTGAAATACTGTTTTAAAACTGGTAACCAAGTCAATGTTTTTAGTGATTGTTGTGCAAAGCTTTCATATTTTTACTTGTTTTTGACAACAAATTTTATTTTATTGGGTAGTTCCAGAAAATATCCATACCCCTACCACGGGCGGCATCGATTTTTTTGCCCCCCTTGCCTTCGGAAATTCCGAAATGGTTCAAGGACCCTGGCCCAAGGAATTCCATATCTGTGTACCCCCCCCGGAATTCCATATCATTATATATTCTCTTAATAGCTTTCTAGACAAAGAAATAATCGCTATTTTCATGCAAGATGAACGAAGACGAACTTAGGTATCAAAGTCGAAAAGCGCATATTACCACGAACTACAAATGAAACTTCACCCAGAGGTCTTAAAACTTCGAAATAATAAGAAAAAAATACATAATTTCATTGTTCTTATCATAACTTATCCTTGATCTTCGACATTTTTCTTTGTTTCCTTGGACAAACAATGCACAAATGAAGCGGAAAAGAACATGCAAATAAACGGGTTTCCGATTGTCGCCATCTTAATTTTCTGATTAACCGCTGATCTTAGTTAATGCAGGCTTTATATAATCAAGAAATACGTCACAGCAAAGAATACATATTCCCTACATAGAGAACAGGCAGTCAAAGCACACAGCTATAGATTTTCCGTAAAAACATTAGAAATAAATACAAAATCATGTTGCTTTTAATTATGGGAAAAAATAATAGGTAAATTTCGGCAGGTGTCCTTGTTTGCAAACACAAAAGGGGACTGGTAGCGAATTCACAATATTACCAAAATCACAGAGGTTCCTACGGTTCCAAGTAGGAGTTTTAGGTATTTCAAGGAGTTAAAGGTACGTCAAAGCAGATTTATTATGTTTTCTTTATGTTATTTACATTGAACTATGGTGTAAAATGTTTGAAATGGATAATTTTTTAATCAATTAGCAACAATATTATTGAATCTTAGGTTTTTGAGTCGTGTTTATACCTACGAAGCGATCGCAAGACTTCGAAGATCAGCTGGTTCATCCGCTCTTTTCACGTAGATATTTCAAAATCAATTCTCCCACCATCCTTTGAAATAATTTTCCAGACCAAGATACCCCCCTTTCCTTCGGAATTCCTGGTCTAAGAAACCCCCTCTCTCCTTCGGAATTCCAAAATGCTGCCCGTGGTAGGGGTATGGATATTTTCTGGAACTACCCATTGCACATACATTAGTCACTTGCCCAGTTCTTTTCGGTGAGGATTAACCCAAGGTGTCAAATTTCTGCACAAGTTTTTTATGTTGTGCAGAGCCAAATCCTTGGAACAAAAACAGTTAGCCATCAGAGCATTTTAAAATCAATAATGCKATTTGATTTGTATTCTGATGAGTGATACATATTAACGATGGCTGTGACATGCTCTTACTGTTTTTTTTAAGAGCAAAAAATCAATTCATAGATTACATTACTCTTAGCGAAGGTGGCGACTGTCTACAAAGATAAAATAAGTTGATGATATATAGATAAAGTTAAAGCAAATGATTACGTGCTGTGTACAGTTTTAAGTTGGCTTGCCTTAGATTTTTAGGGCTCACCTAGTGACGTTTAATCGGCTGTAGCTCCCATCCCAGAGCTCCCTTTTGCTAGAGTTTTCTACACTTCCCTTGGTATGAAATGATCAAACTTTCTAAAAAAAGAACTTTTATCAAAAGCCACTAGGCGAGTGCCGAAAGGACTAAGGTGAGCTACTTTAATATTGTTCAACACCAAATGGATGAAACCAAAATGCTCAATTTTTTTCCATGGGGGTTCCCAGACTATGACAAAAGTTGGGGCCTCATAGTCTCAGAATGGTGGGTAGATTGAGCAAAAACAAAGGCATTAAAACTTATTGTTTACAAACACTTGAAATAAAACTCAATCTAGAGAAATGTGTTTGCCATATCTTTCCCCTATCCTTGAACTATTACTTTGTGGAAATTTTTCAAATCCCCCCCCCCCCCCCCNCCCCCCCCCCAAGTTAACTACAGACTTTGAAATTTTGCCAGCAATAGCTTTTACATCTTCTTTCCAGCAAAGATTTTCATCAATAAGTGTACATGTTAATACTAGTAAAACTATATCATTGACCGTTCTCCATTCATTTCCTACACACACTCCTAGGTTAACTCTGAAACATATTTTTATATTTGTTTGTTGCAGCAATTGACTCCAATAACATCCTTGCCAAAGTACGTCCAGCCAGCATTTGAAGGATACCCAACACTTAACCGAATACAGAGTCGTCTATGTAACACTGCACTCAACACTGATGAAAATATTCTTCTCTGTGCCCCTACTGGTGCTGGGAAAACAAATGTGGCATTGCTCACTATACTTCGGGAGATAGGCAAACACATCAACCTGGATGGCACCATTAACACTGAGGAGTTTAAGATCATTTACATTGCACCCATGAGATCACTAGTACAGGAAATGGTTGGCAACTTTTCAAAGGTATTTGTATTTTTACCATATACACATTCACTAAGCAGTTACGTTACAGGTCAATTTTGTTACAGGTCGGTTTGTTACATTGTATGATCAGTTCATTACATGTGTATGGTCATTTTGCCACCTTCAATGCCATTGTGTTTATGCAAATATTCTGCTGAACCTGTCCTGAAGTTAACCTTGTGGAAATTCTGAGAGCGTTGCTGCCAACCAATATTGAGTTAATTATCTCTTATGGGGTGAACTCTTTAGGTACACCTCATTTTGAAAGGCATTTTCTCAAAATTTCTCCAATCTAGATAAAGCTCTGGTCTATTGATGTAAGAAGTTAGAAGTAAAGACTTGCAGCCATTTAAAAGAAAATGTCAAACGTGTGCTTTTAGCAAAACTCATATTTGAGGTCTACAATGACCATTAGTAATAATTCTTTATTCCATGAGTTTTTAAGATATGATGCTGATTTTTGGTATTCATCATTCGCAACACTTGGAAATAGATATGTGAAAAGTTCAATGCAATCTACTCGATGGAAATTGTTCTACAGCACAATATTTTATTTGCTTCAAATTTTGGGTCAAATTTTCAGGCAGCATCAGCTTTTTTTCTGCCCTTGACTTTCAATCCCTAGTGCCAAGTGCCAAGCGATTCCAAAGGAATTTTTTAGTAAATGGAGCTGGCAGTCACTCTCTGGGGCAGAGGCCAAGTATACTATGCCCAGGTTTAACTGTGAGACAAATTTGATAAATAAAATGTCCTTTGAAATTGCTTGGCACTTATTGATCATGATAGGATAGTATGGTGTGTGTTTGCATGAACTGGGACAGATTTTTTAAAATAAATATAGCTGACAGGCATTTAGTGTTTTGAAATCCTTGATCAGTTGTTAGTTATTTAGACACTTCATTCAATTTTCTTACACCATTTCATTGCAAAAAAAAATTTTTTACAATGGATTAATTTCATTTTCATTCAATTTCCTCCATATTTATGTTTTTAAAAAAACTATTTTACCCTGATCATTCATAAAACATGAATCTCACTCAGGTCGGTACGCATCAGATAGACTTGTTGTTTCACTTCTTGATCAACTGCATACAAAGTGTTTGTAACACTGTAATTTTGTTCCATTGTAAAAATACTTTGAAACATTGTATCATCCTATCATCGTATTATTGTTTGTAATATTATTTCATCACTTGAATATAGACATATACCGAAACGACCATAAACATAAAATGAACCAACCTAAAATCATACAACAAAATTAAGCAAGTAAAATACAACTGGTATTCATGCATTCTCATAATTATTCAACTAGACGTAGCATAATTGCTCAGCATTTGGCTTCCATTGATGGATCAAAGTAGAAGATCTAGATATCCAGAGTTATTTGATTTGCACAATTTTAAAAAATGTGTGAATATTCTCACTAATATGACTTTTCTAAAAATGCTTTTGTAGAGGCTTAGTACTTATGGGATAACTGTGTCTGAGCTTACTGGTGACCATAACCTGAACAAGGAGCAAATTAATAGCACCCAGATCATTGTATGTACTCCAGAGAAATGGGATATTATAACCAGAAAAAGTGGTGACCGCACCTACACACAGCTTGTTAGGCTTATTATCATTGATGAAATCCACCTGCTTCATGATGACCGGGGTCCTGTACTGGAGTCTCTAGTGGCCAGAACCATACGTCAAATTGAAGCAACCCAGGAACTGGTGAGACTGGTTGGTCTTAGTGCAACATTACCCAACTATGAAGATGTTGCAACTTTCATGCGTGTAAATCCAGCAAAGGGCTTGTTCTTTTTTGATAACAGCTTTAGACCTGTTCCATTAGAGCAGCAATATATTGGTATCACTGAGAAAAAGCCTGTCAAGAGAATGCAGGTATAGTATGTTTGTCAATACCAGCTGAGCAGTGAATTTTGTTTTAGCCAATCAACACTTGTTTAGCTGTTTTGCTGCCGGCCCTCAATTCCCAGGCTACTGTAGCCTAACTTTTGGTTAATTATTTATTTATTTATCCTTTGACTAAAATATAATATATGTGCATATTAAAAAAATTTTTAAAAACCAGAAAATATGGAAAGGAAGAATGAAAACAATTTCACTTTACTGCCACATTTGCTTTATTCTTTTAAGCTCCAAAAATTCTCAGGGTCGGTCATTTTGTCCACTCATGCTTTGTGCACCGCTTTCACTGCTCAGCTGGTTCTTCATTGTGTTTGATGTTAAACAATCACAATTTTTTAACCCTTTGACTCTAGTTCAGTTCCTTTCTGTCTAGTTTGGTCCTTTCTGGGTTTTCCCCCCTTCCTTCCTTGTCTGTCCGTACAGTGGATACTGATTCATGTGCTACAGCCATAGGTATTTTTTAAATTTTTGGAAAAAATCCCTAGACAATATTGGGGGTTTTCATGTACTTTTTTTGCTAGTAGTTATTTCCCACTCGCATTGCTTTATAAATATATACCCCGTCTTTCCATTTTCAACTGTTTTGATACACTAAGGAGTATGCTTGTATTCCACCCATAAAATGATTACATCACCCTTAGTATACCTTCATGGTGATTGGTTCATCATTAATTCCTTTTGTTAAATCAGTTTACAATTTGTAAACCTAGGACTGAAATGTTCCTTATGAGTGATATTAAGGGTGAGACCTTTGTTGTAAAATCATATTGAAAATATAAAAAAGAAATAGTTTCATATTGAAAAGTTTAAAGTTTTATTATGAAAATTGGTAAATCCAAACCTAGTTTTTGAATCAACAAGATTGGCAGAACCAGAAAAAAATATCACTATTAATATTTTCTGACATTTGAGATCTAGCATGTCACTCAAAAAAAATTCAATAAACAAATTTTAGATTTCAAACTTTAGAGCTCAGTTATCCAAGGGCTCAAACATCGTCACTGTAACAATCTTAGTCAGTTTCACATCGCATCTTTTCTGTAACAATTGTTCGTGAAGCAACATTGTTGACAGGCTTTGTGTAGCACAAACACAGCAATTTTACAAAAATGGCTGCGATTACCTGGTTTGATATGTTGGTCAAACATTTGCCAGTTGATAAAAAGTCGTAAGGAGTCGCAAACAGAGCAGCCAAGTTGACCAGCCAGTAAGTGGGACTAAGGATAACATCGGCTATCCTCGCCATGCGCCGCTAGCTGTGCATGGGATCCAAAAGAAGTTTTACAACCCTTACACTGGGATGAACTTTATGTCAGTTATATCGTATGTCATATAACTATATTTTTCGCTAGTTAAATAGGATATGAAGTATATCTGGGTAAACTGGACGGCATAGTGTCTGCTGCTTATAAATATGCAGTAGACACAAAAAACCACCAGAACAAAAAAGTTGATTTTGATATTTTGTAGAAAAATGTGAAGCCTACTCAGTATGAACTTAAAGGCAATCTTCCAATGTCTTCGAGTTTCTGGTAAATATCCTTTAACTAGAGACTTGAACTTGGGTAGGTTAAGGATCAGAGATACAAAAAATGATTTTCAAAGTAAAAGAAGATATTTATCTTAAATGCATAACACAACATTTCATCATTGACTAAAGCTTATATCTTTAGTCTTAGTGGTCCTCTATACCAGCTCTTTGAATCAGGTGTCCCTAGTCCATGAATACCTTTTATAGTGAAGAACTTTATTTTTCAAGTACTATTAACTACATCTGAAGAATTCCAATGAAATAAATTTAGTTAAAATCTAAAATATAGATTTTAATTGTCCGTGTTGAGCAAGCAATAGTTGATTGTACTTCGAATATTTTATGATTTTAAAATGGAAAATCTAGCATGGCCAAACTTCAAATTCAATGGCCATTTGCAGTTCTTATTTACAACTTACAGATGTTAATGAATGATGTCAAAGTTTTAAGCTTATCTCTGTTGTTCTGACCTTACATTTGACTAAAATGTAAACATGACCTGCATAAATTTGTTTCACAATTGTCGGCTTTTGTACCAAAAATAAAGATAGTATATCTCGATAACCATCATGTTGACCTCCTTCAAAAACTTGAATTTTTGATATTTTAATGTTGATCAATATTTTACAGAGCTCAAACTTTAAAATTAAACTAGTTAATTATGACATATGGGTGTCATATTGGGCTTTCTCTGTTTCAAAATGGCAGCATAAAATACAAAAGTTGACTCCAAAAGCTGTCAACAAGCATAAGAAAAGCATGGGGAACCCAATCTCTAAAATGTGCAACTAGTATCTATAAAAATAGGATATATAAGCAGCTGAGAGGAAATGATAGACAGGATATTCAATAGTCACTAGCTTAGGAGGGGTTTGACAGGATTCTAAAGGCCCTGTTACACAATGAAAATTTTAGCTAAAACTTGCAATGGTGTTGTGAGACAAATTTCACAGGGTTAGACAGTGCAATTTTGTTCTTGAACTTGTTCCTGACACAGCAGGGCCTTAACCATTCACCTCTGGAAGACTCCTCACCTAGTTATGGTCACTGAAATTGAAAATGCCCATATTCAGTTAAAAACTCATTAAATAAATTGAGTTGAGTTTTTTTTTTTTTTTTTTTCCACGAAAAACTTGATGTCATTAATTTTATAAATAAAAATTCCTGAAGTTCAATTCCTCAAAGCCATGTTGGGTAAAAATGACCTCAAAATTGGTATGGTTGCTGTAGTTTCTAAATTACAAGTCAGATATTCATCAAACTTGGCAAGAACATCAGGGTTGTCCAGACGGATTAAGATGAATAGTTTTTAGCGTTACTTGTATGGGTACGGGTTTTCATATAATTTGAGCTTGATCCATACTTTGTAAAATATGTGCTTTTAGACGCTTCTTGAGATAACCAACATGGTTTTGAAACTGTATCCTGATTGGTCACAGCAGTCAAAAGTTTTAGAAAATTTAAATTTAATAGTTTTTCCGCCAAAAAAATTGGTGGGAAAAAAGATTTAAAAAGCATTGATAAAAACTATCATTCATCTTTTGAATTCATAACAATATCGCACTAAAGGTTCTACATAAACTAAACTAGTAATGATCTAAGATAGTATCTTTTTTGACTTTTGAATTTTGAAGCCCAAGCGCTATACGATTAAGGCAGGAAAAAATGCTTATGTCATTATGACGTCACATGAATTTTAAATTGCCTATAAAAGTTAACCCAATAAGATTCTTTTAGATGTTTTTGAGTAGCAACACTGCTTTAGCACTAAGTAACAGTTATGCTAGGAGAAGTCAATCGTTCCACAACATTTAAAATTTTAAAAATTCAAGATGACGTCAAATTGGTTGATACCACAAAATCCTTTAATGAGAGATAGATAGAGATAGATGCTTTATTAATCATACGTAGCAGCCAAAAGGCTGAATTGCGTATTAAATACAAAATTAATAATGATATCAAAATATAGATATATATACAAATTTAAATAATTATGTTAATATTTGATAAAATATAAAATCTAAAATTATGTACAAGCAAGATTGAGAAATATAAGATTGGCTAAATTGAATCAAAAATAAGACTTGATGATAGCACAATTAGTTTTCACTTTAGGGACATCAAAAGGTTCTTGCATGTCTTAAAGTGTATCTGGTGGCTTTATGTAATGGTGGGAGTAAATAATGTAGTCTGTGGTTCATATCATTAAGAATGTTGTTAAAAAAAGCATTACATAAGTTACGATGATTTTCATTTAGTGAGAGTAAATCCATGCGAGAAAGTGCTGTGTTTTTTATCCTCACAGATGACCAATGAAGTGGTTTATGAGAAAGTTATAGAACATGCTGGAAAAAACCAAGTGCTTGTTTTTGTGCATTCTCGAAAAGAAACTGCAAAGACTGCAAAGGCGGTGAGGGAAATGTGTTTAGAAAGAGATTCGCTTGGGATGTTCTTGAGGGAGGACTCGGCAAGTACTGAGGTTTTGAGGTAAGAAGAAATTGATTTTAATGACTTGATAATTATTTTGCCTTTACGTCTTTAAGGACCTTTTGTTGAATTTTGTTATTAGTAAGATTCAGCTGACTCTATAAATACCTAAAACTCTATATTCCCATTATCTTGTTTAAAGATCAGAAGCAGAGCAAGCAAAGAATCCTGATTTAAAAGACCTGTTGCCCTATGGCTTTGCTATCCATCATGCAGGCATGTCAAGGGTAGACAGGACACTTGTAGAAGATTTGTTTGCCGACAAACACATTCAAGTGTTAGTGTCAACAGCAACCTTAGCATGGGGTGTCAACCTTCCAGCACACACTGTCATTATCAAGGGGACACAGGTAATTAATAAACAATCCTAGTCAACTACAATGCACTGCACGCTGGAAACAATGCTATGCAATGCACCATTTTCTCTGCAACAAATTTAAGGTAGATATTGAAAACTTGCGATGTCTAACAGTTGGATGACCAAAAACTCATAATGTCACAAAGAGAATATCTGTAAAAAATTCAACCTACTTGCTGTAGAATAAAAGGAAGCTTTGACAATTTGATGACTTGGCATAGTGAATTTGCAGAAATTTTGCTCCACCAGTGCACAGAAGAGCATCAAGAAGGATGTAAGGAAACGATGTAAACAACATAATTATATAGGTGCACAGTGCATTGCAGTTGATTATGATTCTTTAACTTCTTTCCTGGTATTAGCAAAAAATCATTGAAAGGCAAAAAGACCCTTGAATTTTATCTTTAAAATGTAAAATTTTCCAATTTTTTTAAATTGAATGTTACTTGCAAGTATAGCAGAAATACAAAATTCATTCATTTACCATTTAAATTAGTGCAAGCCACATATCTGTGGAATAATGCTAACTAATTAGTACAAAATAACACCAATAAAACAATTGAAAACAAAAGAAATATGTTTAGTGCTATTTAGTTGTGCTATCTAACGGATATTTGGTTTGCACACAGGGAGTCCACAGCCACAATGTTTAAAATAAAATCTTTTGAGCATTTAATTAATGCTGTTTCACATGTTTTTAAAAAAGTATAATTATTTACATCCTCACACAGCGGCATTTCCTTTGTGTTCCTTTAATGGGGTTAGCATTATTATTAGCTTGAACGCTAATCCAATTAAGGTTTTGAACCTTTGTTCTTTGTTTATTCAAACTTTGTGGAGTTATCAGTAGTGTCACTGATCAAAATGCTTGTAATCTTCCTTGAAAAGTAGGGTGTTACGCACTAAATAGCCCTTTTAACGAACCTCAGAAATTGTGCAAAAAAAAAAAAAAGGCTTTGGTGGTATCATAATAGACTTTGGTCATTTTAACAGGTTTACAGCCCAGAAAAAGGCCGTTGGGTGGAGCTGGGTGCCCTTGACATTCTTCAGATGCTGGGACGTGCTGGGCGTCCACAATATGATTCAAAGGGTGAAGGTATTCTCATTACAAGCCATGGAGAACTACAGTATTATCTTTCTCTTATGAACCAACAGGTATGGATTTGTTTGACAGCCAATCTTTCATAATTTTCAAAAGCTCCTGTCATCAGCTCAACTCCTACTCCAAGTCATGCACAAACAGTTTCCATTTTCACATTTTATTTATTTCAAAGGCCACAATTTGTACAATTTGTGTACAATTTGTACATTGGCACATGGCCAAAGAAAATACATTCAATCAAAATCTTATAAATCAAGATCTTATAATATATATGATAAATAGTTATATTATTGGCCTCTAAATTGGAAGCACTCGTGCGCATATTTGCAAACGAGGCTTTGGATTTTTTCTGGAGGGTTAAACAAATTCTGGACAAAATAATTTTCACTCTTTTTTTTTTTAAATTCATTAAATTTCTGCTTTCCATGACATCAAAAATATTCTTTCTCAGACTCTCACAGCACAGACATTTCACCAGGAAGTGTCGCTCGTCCTCTATTTCCCTAAGTTCACACCTAGTACATATTCG